CACGGCACACAGAATTTCAGATGATACCTAGTCGAAAAGCTCCTGCTGCGAGTCAGACAAGGACATGTTACCTAGGAACATGTTGCCTAGTCAGAGATAAACATGTTACCTAGTCTCCATGTTACCGAGCCAGAGAGAAACATGTTAGCTAGTCTCCCTGTTACCTAAGAACATGTTACCTAGTCAGAGAGAAACACGTTACCTAGTCTCAAGCTCCAGGCACTCTCACCTTTTTCAAACCACACAAAGCCTGCTGCTGCGACTCATGCCCGCATCCAAACCATGAAGGCGGCGGCTTTTAGTCCTTCTGCTCCGGCGCTTTCATCGCCTTGATCGCCTTCTTCGCCTTCCTCGCCTTCGTGGCCTTCTGAGCTGGCTTCTTCTCCATTTTCTTGGCCGCCCTTGTCTTCATAGCCTTCTTCATAGCCTTCTTCATCGCCTTCATAGCTCTCGTCGAAGCGGGGCGGTTTCTTGGAATCCACGTCTCCGTGACAATGCCCGGACTGCCCGGCTCCTTCCCCGGCTCCTTCGTCAGCTTGACCAGCTTGAAGCCGTCCCACACGGTCGACCACCGCTTCGTGAAAACCTCCTGGATGGTATTATATATATATATATATATATATATATTGGGCTACCGCAACAAGAATACGAGCCCTACCCAAAACATAAACTCCACTTAAAAAAACAAACCGTCCAGCTCGGTGTTGGACCGGCGAACCATGCTCGAAGAGCACAGCAGGAAAGGGAGAGACAACTCAAGATAAAGCTGAACACTGGCAGGTGGCTCTCCGTGGGTGCCTCTGAGCGATGGCTTTGTGAAGGGGGGTATGTGGCTCTGTCGCAGTGACTGTGTGTCTCTGTGTGTGTGTGTGCAGTCACTGACTGTGCAAGATGCCTCTGTCTAGTGTCTGCCCGCTTGAGTGTGGAGGCCGGCACGGCACACAGAATTTCAGATGATACCTAGTCTGCTTTCGGACTTGCAACAGACAGCTGTGACTGACATGAAAGCATGTTAATTAGGAAGCTCCTGCTGCGAGTCAGACAAGGACATGTTACCTAGGAACATGTTACCTAGTCAGAGATAAACATGTTACCTAGTCTCCATGTTACCTAGGAACATGTTACCGAGCCAGAGAGAAACATGTTAGCTAGTCTCCCTGTTACCTAAGAACATGTTACCTAGTCAGAGAGAAACACGTTACCTAGTCTCAAGCTCCAGGCACTCTCACCTTTCTGCTGCGACTCATGCCCGCATCCAAACCATGAAGGCGGCAGCTTTTAGTCCTTCTGCTCCGGCGCTTTCATCGCCTTGATCGCCTTCTTCGCCTTCATCGCCTTCGTGGCCTTCTGAGCCGGCTTCTTCTCCACTTTCTTCTTGGCCGCCCTTGTCTTCATAGCCTTCTTCATCGCCTTCATAGCTCTCGTGGGGCGCTTTAGCTTGTCGCCGATGGGAATCCACGTCTCCGTGACACTGCCCGGACTGCCCGGCTCCTTCGTCAGCTTGACCAGCTTGAAGCCGGCCCACACGGTCGACCACCGCTTCGTGAAAACCTCCTGGATGGTATTATATATATTGGGCTACCGCAACAAGAATACGAGCCCTACCCAAAACATAAACTCCACTAAAAACAACAAACCGTCCAGCTCGGTGTTGGACCGGCGAACCATAAGAGCACAGCAGGAAAGGAGAGAGAGGCAGCTAAAAAGAGCTTGTGGAGCAGCAAAGCTTCCAACAGACACGAAGTAAGCATGTTGTTATTTATATAGAAGGGACAAATGCTACTTAGATTTCTTATCTGATACCTACAAACTGTTACTTAGATCGCAGACATGTTACTTAGCCTTCGCAACTGTTGTTTCTTAGAAGGGAGAAATGCTACTCAGATTTCTCAGACGAACAGACACGAAGTAGGCATGTTGTTATTTAGAAGGGACAAATGCTACTTAGATTTCTTATCTGATACCTAGAAACTGTTAATCAGATCGCAGACATGTTACTTAGCCTTCAAGGGCCCTATATAAAGGAATGATGTACAAAATCTTCCGAAAAGGCAGCGATAAGGCTTGGAAGGGCCTTCCCACCCAGAAATATTCTATCTGCAATTGCTGCCACCAACCGCTGAGAAGCCAGATGCGGGCACCAGGAGGCCCCGCAAAAGCCCAAAAGCCTTTTCAGGAGCCCCTTTATAAAGGAATGATCTGTTCTGCCGGAAAGGCAGCGATGAGGCTTGGAAGGGCCCACGTGGCCTTCTGAGCTGGCTTCTTCTCCATTTTCTTGGCCGCCCTTGTCTTCATAGCCTTCTTCATCTTGGTACATTTCCCAGTGAACTGGAGGACCGCTGACCTCAGGGAACACCTCGGGCTGCACACATAGATTCATAGCCTTCTTCATCGCCTTCATAGCTCTCGTCGAAGCGGGGCGCTTTATTGGAATCCACGACTCCGTGACACTGCCCGGACTTCGCGGCTCCTTCGTCAGCTTGACCAGCTTGAAGCCATCCCACACGGTCGACCACCGCTTCGTGAAAACCTCCTGGATGGTATTATATATATTGGACTACCGCAACAAGAATACGAGCCCTACCCAAAACATAAACTCCACTCAAAAAAACAAACCGTCCAGCTCGGTGTTGGACCGGCGAACCGTGCTCGAAGAGCACAGCAGGAAAGGAAGAGACTGGCAGGTAAAAAGAGCTTGTGGAGCAGCAAAGCTTCGAACAGACACGAAGTAAGCATGTTGTTATTTAGAAGGGACAAATGCTGCTTAGATTTCTTGTCTGATACCTGGAAACTGTTGCGTAGATCGCAGACATGCTACTTAGCCTTCGCAACTGTTGTTTCTTACACAGCGGGTTGAAACTAGTTATGTTAGTTAGCAAGTAGCAAATGCTCTTATAAGAGGACTTATGTTAGTTATGATCATGCAGTTGCAACTCACTTATACCTATAGTTAGCAAGTATATAGCATAAGTAGAAAGCTCGCTAGCATGGTTTTGCTGCCGGCAACGAAATTATGTTTCAATCCGATGTGCAAATAAGGGATAATATATATTTCTTGAAGAGATAGTAGATATGGGACAAGTCTACGACTAGCATGACGCCTGCACAGTAAAGCGGAAACGCATAGAACCGCTGTTTCCTATATACGTCTGTCTCGCACTGCTTCGCTCAGACCTCTTTCAGAAGGTCCCAGTGGGCACGAGGCCCCTGTAAGGCCTTCCCTCCAGGGCGTGCTGCAAAAAGGAGAGACAGTCCTTCGCAGTGGGGTCTGTACTGCCAGGTACTGGCTGGAACGCAGACACCTGGCGTTGCAAAAAGGACACAAAGTGCTGCGGACAGAGTTCCCTCTCGCTAGCAGAGACAAGCACGACGAGGCCCTTCAGTCGGTTCGAGCTCTGGGCGGCCGTGTAGTAGCCGCGCCACTTGTCCGGGATCATATCGGCCATTGGGTCATGTGCTCGCGACGCCGAGAGCATCCGCTGGCAGTCCTTGGTGTCATCGTCGCTTTCTCCAATGACGTCGTGTCCAGGAGCGCGACATGCAGGAGTGCTCATGCCACTAGAAAGCAAAGTAGGTGTCACAACAAAACTGAGCCGAACTACGAAGGCAACTGTGGAAGCATGCAGGGCTGCATGCTGCAGTGTCCTCTGCAGGGATGCTTTCACTTTTGCAATGGAACCCGCACGCTCGCACCGCTCTTTCGTGTAAAGCACGTGCATGCATGTAGAATGAGCATTAAGCATGCGCGTATATACACTTAGCCTACTTAGTATAAGTCCACTTCTAAGTGTCCTAAGTGTGTGTTGAACCTAGCTTACTTACGCCACTTATAAGATCTCTTACGCACCATAAGAGGACTTATAAGAGATCTTATGCTACATACAAGTGCTCTTACAACTGACATAAGTAATTTCAACCCACTGTGTAGAAGGGAGAAATGCTACTCAGATTTCTCAGACGAACAGACACGAAGTAGGCATGTTGTTATTTAGAAGGGACAAATGCTACTTAGATTTCTTATCTGATACCTAGAAACTGTTACTTAGATCGCAGACATGTTACTTAGCCTTCAAGGGCCCTATATAAAGGAATGATGTACAAAATCTTCCGAAAAGGCAGCGATAAGGCTTGGAAGGGCCCGTCCACCCAGAAATATTCTATCTGCAATTGCTGCCACCAACCGCTGAAAGGGCAGATGAAGGCACCACGAGGCCCCGCAAAAGCCCAAAAGCCTTTTCAGGAGCCCCTTTATAAAGGAATGATGTGTTCTGCCGAAAAGGCAGTGATGAGGCTTGGAAGGGCCTACCCACCCAGAAATATTCTATCTGCAACTGCTGCTCATTTTGGGTGAGCAGCAGCAAAGAAGAAGAGAGGCCCACAGAATTCACAGAAAACGGGACAACCTCTTTTTAGGTGCCAGGAACAGGAAAGACAGCCGAGGCCTACATCACAAGCCCAGAATCCCTAGTTTCAGCCCTCAGCCCAACACTATCTAAATCCATGGACACCAAACTCCCTCAATCCCGGCCCTTCTATATAGCCTAAAACCCTCATAACGGGTCGCCCTGACCAGAATGGACATTTAATTTCCCATTGCATTCGTGAGTTCCAGGGCTGAGCGCCGAGGGTCCGCTCTGAAGACGTCCGGATCCAGTTTGACCGGCCGGAAAGAATAAATCCAGAAGCGACAAGACGAGTCCTCGCCCCCAGAAGCGTGCCAGCCTACAGCCCCCAGAAAGCCAAATGACAGACAGGGCATCGACATGATTCTTGCCAGTTTCGGCTGCTGGCCTTGTACCATCCGTGCGCATTGGCCCAGCGGACTGGAAAATCGCCTGTCCCAGCTCCCGTGATCACCGTCTTGCGGCAGTCGACGCAGACCGTGATCATGATCCAACAAGCACTGCCAGGAAGGGTCACATCGGTTGTCTGCTCCGGGGGAACCGGTGGAGTGATCGAAGAAGGAACTCCTGCAGGAATAGCTGTGGTGAACGGACGAGTCGGAGGTGGAGGCTTTGCCGTCGGTCTCGCAGCTACCAGAACTCCTGCAGGACCAGTCGGAGGCGCAGGCTTTGCAGTCGGGGGTCTCGCAGATCCCGGAACTCCTGCAGCACCAGTCGGAGGCGTCCAGGTTCTCGCAGATCCCGGAACTCCTGCAGCACCAGTCGGAGGCGCAGGCTTTGCCGTCGGGGGTCTCGCAGATCCCGGAACTCCTGCAGCACCAGTCGGAGGCGTCCAGGGACTCGCAGATCCCGGAACTCCTGCAGCAGGCTTTGCCGTCGGGGGTCTCGCATATCCCGCCGAAGCACGTCCCCTGATGGCGCGCAAACCTTCGTCCTTCAGCGCTTGCATGTAAACGAAGCTGTTTTGCACCCTTGCATCCACGTCATACTCTGGCACAAAGTGATGGAAGTGCACACGAGCCTTGTCAGGATGCAAGACCAGAGACATACTGCGGAAAGAGCGCGTCAGGTCCTCTTCGGTGCATGTCGCAGGATCCAAATGGTAAGTTCTTGCCCAGGACCAGTTCTGCTTCTGTGCCTCCTCGACATAGAATATGCTGCGAAATAGCACAGTACGAGGGGATCCCATGGCCCGGCACACAAGGAAATTCCCGCCTAAGGATCCTACTGGCGATTTCGGGTCACGTATCTGGCTCGGTAGGATCTTTATGTGGTCCTCAAACCTAGTAGGGACAAGAAATCCTGAGATCCTTATGTGGGCGTCGAAGCACAGTGCCGCGTAAAGATCTCACACGGCAAACAACTTGTGACAAAATGTGAACTGACAGAGCCCTAGGCACAGGTTTG